CACAGATTCAATCTTTTGACTGAAGTCTTGTGCTTTTTATCGTGCCACAATTTCACTCTTACGCCGAGAGTATCTCCTCGCTTCTGTAAGTGAATGGTCGTTACTCTTAGGAATCAGAACACCACCAGCCACCTGCGTCCCGATGTGAGCACTGGCGGGGCCACATCTGGTATCCCGGTTTCAGGGGCAGGCAGGCAGGCAGACAGGGGAGAGGTTAACAGGGCTTTGGTAGGGGTGTTACAATCATGCCTGTGACAAATCTTGAAAACCCAAACCCAATATTCCACTGTATTTGCGTTCAGGGGAGGGCTTCTTGCTGCTACAATGTGGCGGTCTTGGGAAAACATACAGGTGACATCAGCTTGGACAAGGAGTGTGATTCAATCTTTGCAGGGGCAACAATAGTTCCAGCGATGCCCCCTAACCACCCCCTGTGTAATTCACAGTGGACATCAGGTTTGGGTCTGAGAGTATAATACTCATCTCTCTCAGAAGGCTCCGACTCAAGTCCGCATCCTCCAGCATCATTTCTTGTTGGTTCACTGTGGTTTATGGAACCGGGTCACCTGTACCTGGTAGATTCTGGTCCTGTGACCTGCAGGTTCCTTCTCAGTAGAATGCGCCTCGGAGTCCATAGTTCGCGTTATTGCTTAAGTGCCATTTCTTCACATCCGCAGAGACTAATTTTACTGCAATGGAAGACCTCAGTGTGAGCTATTCTTGCAGAACATCCTGTGATGTCAGAGAGAGAGCAGGACTGTGAGCACCCCTGCTTGGGTCCTAATCTGGGTCAGCTTGCCAGGTGGGAAAGATCCTTCATCTGTGTGGCTGATGTTTCTTCTTGTCTATGATGAGAGAGTTGAAGCTGTATCCAAATCTCCTTCAGCTTTTAAATTCTATGATGTTTAAGCAGTAGCTTAGGAACAATTTAGGAGAATCGATTGGAACACCTCACTCAGTCTGAGAATTGCTGAGTTGTGGAGACATGAATATTTTTATTCTTTTAAAAATTTGTTTTGCAGCTGTCCCAGGGATTAAAAAAACCCACATTATTAAGCAGTTTCTATGTATTGCCTTTGCATGGAAGCTAAAGGCTTTTATTAAGATTTAAAAGCATGTTTATTCTTATTTTCTTCAAAAATGTCTTAAGTGGGGTTATCCTCCCGTCCAGAAGTTCCTATGCCTGGTTTATGGTCAGAAACATGGAGGAAACATTTAAAAGCTACAGGAATCCTAGGTATCTGCCAGACCTATGGAATTAGAATATCTGCGTTGTAAGGCCCAGCGGTCTATATTTCAAAACAAGCAGAGTCAAGCAAACTTCCTGGGTGATTCTGACGAACAGCCAAGTCTGGGCAATCACTGCTAAGTCGGCTGATGTCCTGTGATTGTGGTGGATTCGGTTTCTGATTCCTGGCTCTGCCTTTCTCCTCCCAGTAGTTTTGGAGTGCTCAGGGTGAGCTGCAGGGAATGATCTGGGTTATTGATTGGGTGGTGTGTAGGAGAGGAAGCCCAGGTCTGTACCAAGGCCTGAGGGTGATTTTTTGCGACAGGTTAATCATTTGGCTGCATAGCACACCCTGTCTTTGGTGCCCTCTCTCCAGAGACTTCTGACCTCCCACATGTGCCCCTGACCCAAAGCAGCTCCCTCCTCATACAAGTCAATAATCCAATCCTGCTCGGATTGCTTTCTTTCATTTTGGGGTAACTGTTTTATTGAGGTATCACTGACATTTCATACAATCCACCCACTTAAAGTGGATAACACAGTGGTTTTTAGCATATTCACAAATAAGTGCAATCATCTCTTTTCAAAGAAACGCTATACCCTCTGGCTACCATTCCTCCTTCGCTTGCCACATCTCCCAGCTCCAGGCAACCACTGATCTGCTTTCTGTCCCAGCAGATTTGCCTCTTCTAGATGTGTTGTGTAAACAGAGTCATAGAATATGGGGCCTTTTGTGACTCCTTTCATTTAGCATGTTTCCAAGATTCATCCATGTAATAGTGTGTAACAGCACTTCATTGCTTTTGATGGTCAAATAATATTCTGTTGTATGGCTAGCCTACATTTTATTGATCTATTTATCCACTGGTGGACATTTGGGTTGTTTCTACTGTTTGGCCATTATGAATACTGCTGTGTGAACATTTGTTTACAGATTTTTATGTGGTTATATGTTTTCATTTCTCTTAAATATATACCTAGGTAGGGTGTTGTGGGCTGGATGGTAACTTAATGTCAAACTTGGACTGTTTTCCAAATGACTGCACCATTTTACATTCCTGCCAGCAGGATAGGAGGGTTCCAGTTTCTCCTTGTCCTTGTCAACACCTGTTATTTTCCAGTGACACAAACAGCCACTTGAATGAGTGTAGAGTGATATCTCATTGTGGTTTCCTTTCTTCCTTTTTAAGGAGGATTCCTGCCAAATATAATTTATTTAATCCATCTATGAAAAGTCTTTTTAAAATCAAAATTAACTTTTAATTGTTCACTGTAAAAAAAAAAAAAACAAACCCTAGAATATACAGATAAACAAAAAAGTAGAAAACCCAAATCACTCACAATCCCACTACCTAGGAAAAACCAGTATATACTATGGAGCATCTCCTCTTAGGTTTCTTTTTTATGCAGTATTCACTTTTAAGAGGAGAATTTGGTAGACTCAGTGAAACAAATTGATAGGATTACGGGGGAGTTATTTTTGAGCAAGAAGAACCCTGACCTCTCCCCTTCCCACCTGAGATGAGACGAGGATTGGGCCTCTTGGCTGCATCCCTGCGAAGTTCTGACCTGTGTGGTAAATGGAAGAAATGCTCTTCTTTCTGACCCCAGCTGTCTGTTGAGAAACGTATCTAACTTTTAGCAATGTAGCTGTTAGCAGTTGCTGAATGAGGGTCCCTGATGCCACTTAGACTCTGAGTAGGGCCTTGGGGTGTGGGTTGGGGGTGGCGAGGTTCTCTTACACCCTGAACCTAAGAAACTTTTGACATGTGCTGTGAGAGACATACTTTCTTTTTTTAAGCATTGATCACATTGGACTCATTGGATGAAGGAAAAGATCATGCATGTTGCTACCCTGTCTTTGATACGTGACCCACATGTTGGCATTGATTTAAAAAAGGCAATCTTTTTCTAACAGCCAGCTGATTAAGAGTTCAGTGGTAACTTCTTATTTTCATAACAACTGAAACTGTCAAGAGTTCATTGTAGGGGTGCCTGGGTGGCTCAGTCGGTTGGGCATCTGACTTCGGCTCAGGTCATGATCTCAGAGTCCTGGGATCGAGCCCCGCATCGGGCTCCCTGCTCGGTGGGGAGTCTGCTCCCTCTGCCCCTCTCCCACTCATTCTCGCTCTCTCTTTCTCAAATGAATAAATAAAATCTTAAAAAAAAAAAAAAGAGTTCATTATAAATCCATGGTTTGTACCTTGGAATCTTTTCTCCCTTATCAGCAGTGGTGTTCTACCTGGCAGCCAGGTAGCTAAATATAAAGTCTATTTTATATTTTAGCTCCAATAATAAAAACTAAATATTGTGGAGCACTCACTGCATGTCAGGTGTCCTCCAGTCTTTTACATGGATTATTTCATTTCATCTTTACAGTCACCTTACAAGGGACGATTCATCACTATCCCAGTATTATGGATAAGAAAGCTGAGGTTGCACGTCTTGGCCTGGACATGCAGTCTGGCTGTACTAGCATTCCAGAAAATGGTACTTGCCTAAAACTCATAATGAACCAAAACAGGAAAACAGTATGATTGAAGAAAGAAGGTTTGCTTGTCTGGACTGCCTGTACCACTCCCTGATTGAAAAGCTCCTTCTTCTGTTTTGCTGTTGGATGTCGCACACTGGGCTACCTCAGGGGAGGGTTGCTCGTACTACTTGGAGAGGAAGTCTAGAATTAAGTGAGGTAAACTTCTTCTGCAGGGGACACCACTCCAACTATATACTTTTGGCTAATTAAGCACTTTTTCTGGGAATGCACTTGAGGAGTGAGAAGAAGCTGGGATTGGTTCAACTCCTTTTTTTTTGATCTCGCCATCCCGAGACACCAGGTCATGAGGGGGATGAGAGCCGTGCACTGGGAGCCTTAGGAGGGTGGGGTGGTAGCTCGGGCATGGGAGCCCCTGGAAGGACCTTGCTGGGGAGCTGGATGCTCTGTGAGTAGTCCGGGGGATGGGGGCAGAAGGTCAGCGTTAACCACCAGCCCGCCGTGAGCCAGGTGCTGTGCTGGCCTCTTCTTGGAGGTTGTGTCATAACAAGCGCTGTCCTCATAAATAGCTAATAAAATTCAATTTTATTCTGACCACCACTCAGTGCGGTAGGTGTTATTAGCTGCCCGAAACCCTTTTGGAAAAGAGCTGGTGTGAATAGTTAAGACTGTCATCCCTGTTCAATGGACACATTTGCAGGCTCAGAGAGATGAAATAACGTGTTTCCCAATCCCCAAACGACAGAGCCAGGGCTGCAGTTCTGCTGTGATTCCAGAGGCCGTGCGAGTATATATTTAGTTAATTTTCTGGAGCCCATGAGTCTAAGTCCTGTGCGCTCTTGTGGGACCATGGCATGGGGTTGGAGCGGGCAGTCTGCTGGCCTAGTCGGGAGGCGGCCAGGATTCTGTGATTGCTGACTTCGTGTCCCATTTTTACCAAAAACTAATTGTAAGAAGTTTTCCTTTCTTCCTTCCTTCCTTCCTTCCTTCCTTCCTTCCTTCCTTCCTTCCTTCCTTCCTTCCTTCCTTTCTTTTATCTCTTTCTAAGATTTTATTTATTTGCCAGAGAGAGACACAGCAAGAGAGCGAACACAGGCAGGGGGAGTGGGAGAGGGAGAAGCAGGCTTCCCGCCGAGCAGGGAGCCCGATGCGGGGCTCGATCCCAGGACCCCGGGATCACGACCTGAGCCGAAGGCAGATGCCTAACGACTGAGCCACCCAGGCGCCCCTTAAGCAGGGTTTCTAAAGCCTTTAGTGGTTAGGGACTCAAGATTAAGGTCAGACCTAGGTTGGAATTCAGACCTCGGGCTACTTATATATACTCCATATGCTTTTATTTGTGAGGAGGGGATGATACTGCCCATTTGACAGAGTTGTTGGGATGATGATGCTTGGTACATGGTAAATGCTCAAGAAACGTTAGCTGTTACTGTTATTACCAGCTATGGATGCCCTTTTGTACTCCCCTGACACTTTTTTTTCTTTTTAAAGATTTATTTATTTATTTATTTGATTGGGGGGCGGGGCAGAGAGAGAGAAGGAGAGAGTCTTAAGCAGACTCTGTGCTGAGCATGGAGCCCCACAGGGGGCTCGATCTCATGATTCAGAGATCATAGCTTGAGCAGAAATCAGGAGCTGGCTGCTTAACCGACTGTACCACCCAGGCGTCCCTCCCCCTACTTTCTTATAGTCCCCCGGAGGGGCCTCCTGGACACCCTCTACCGTTCACCCCTATTGAGACCCACTAGATTCAGTGATTTTATGGAAAGGTATTCAGGAATTTCATTGATTCTGCCTTTGTTTGGAGTTTGCTGGTTGGATGCCTTTAGGCTCTGGGAGACTTGGCTGCACCGGGTCTCCCAAGGCTGTGTAGCTTCCATATTGACACCTGTCTGGGGCCAGAGCTGCTCTATCAATTCTTTATTAAGACCAGTTATTTTTTATTTATGATGCTTGTGTGTTCATTAAAAATGGCACTCCCTGTTGGGGATACCATCAAGGCTTTTAGCCAGTTTTTATCAGGTTGTTAGAGTAGATATGAATATTTTAATAGAGAGAAAGAGCAAAGCCTTCAACAGACTTAATTTGTTCTGGAATCTAAGTGACAGGCTTAACAGGGGTGCCAAGTAATTCAGTATAATCAGCCCAGATAGTGGAGTAAGGAACACAATTCAATGGACCAGGGAGCTTTTCCAGAGAGGCCACAAGGGGATTTTCTGCCCCTGAGCAGCTGTAAATCACTGTATCCTGCATCCTTTGAGTCCAGGTAAGATCTTGCATAGCCACGGGCAGCTTCTATCCCCCGTTAAGTTCCTAGGAAGCCAGGGGGAGCGTTTTTGCAGATGCCATTTTAACATTTATAGAATTCTTTCCCCAGGATGCTGATCTTATTTAATTATGTTCAAAATGATGGATAAGTCAGGTCACTGCTGCCCATTAGAATCATATTTGGGCCTCAGTCCTGATTGCAATCCTAGATGCCATGGCTGGTTTCTTGGTGTAGTTTAAAAATTATCCACTTGGGGGAGCTTTATGATTGAATTTTAAAATCCGTATCAGATTTTTTTTTTTTTTTTAATGTGCGACCGAGATCCAGATGAATTCCACCCCTCCCCACACCAGTGACAAGCTACTGAAGCAAGCAATGGTTGCAGAAATACAATGATAAATCAACGTGAGTGGTTTTACTTTATTGGCAATTCCTCCCTCTGGATTTTGAAGTTATTCTTGATTTTTTAAAAGCTTCCCTTTCAAACTGAAGTAGCTTAAAGATAAAATAAAGAATAGCAGTACTTTCTGCTGTTTCTCGGATGAGTGTTCTGCATATGTATGCAGACATCAATGCATACTTAAATAAATGCTTGTCCCAGTTAATTTTCAATAGCCACAGCATCAGAAAAATCTCCTTTGAAGTTTTATGAACACGGTCAGTTGCAAAGAAGATGAAATCACGAAACCAAATGTCTGAGCAGGGAATGCTGTTTTCCAGAGTATTCGCCATGTAACTCTCCATCACTCTTTCTCTCTTTCACATAGGTGGGGCCTGGAGAGGTCTAATGAAGGACAGTCCCTTGCTGCCTGGGCATATGTCCAGGTTCCAGATGGTCTTTGGGGTCTACCCAGATTTGGACAGTTTTGAAATAATGGAAAGCTAGTTAGGGTTCCTAATTAGGACATTTGCTAGAGAATGTTGTCACAATATGGACGCACTATTAACCCACTTTACTATGGAATAAAATGAAACCAATTATAAATGCACGTATACAATTGTGACTCTATGTGCCCACCTGCCCCCACAGAGGGAGCAGGAAAGTGTTTCTCAGAGGGGGATGGCTTGCTCATTGTCTAAAGCTCAGTGTTGTTCTGTTCTCTTCTTTTCTCCTCTTTGTCTTCTCCTTTTGAGAAGACATTCTAGATTCTCCCCTCATTTACTTAGGGTTCAATTATTATATTAATATGGCTCTGCTATTTTGACAAAGCCTCTTTCTTAGTTTTCCTTTTCTCTCTCCGGAAGAGGAAGGGAGGAATGCCGGAGGGCCGCCTTGCAGCCTTTTGTCCCTCGGGTGAAGGGCATCGCTGTCTCTGAGCAGCCGCTGCTGTCCCCGTATCTGCCTCGTTCCGTGCCATTTCCTCCCGCCCCCCGCGCGCTCAGGCTCACCTTGCCCCGCCGCTCTCTCCCTGGGCAGCCTGGCCTGGCTCCACGCAGGCAGCCCTCTCTGTCGTCAGTGCTCCGCGGGGACAAGTCTCGGGTACCTGCTCCAGTGGGGACCCCACTGCTCCCCTCCCCCCCCAGTCACTTGTTCACCATCTTCATTGGTCACATCGATATGACTTTCACTGTCTGCTCAGTGGAGGAGAAATCTCGCTTCCTCAGGAACCCTGTTGCTCCCACCAGGAAGACTTCTTCAGGAGGAAAAAAAAAAATTGCTGCTCGCTCCTATTTTTATTTTCTGGTCTTTGGCTTTCACAGAGTGGTTATCAAACTTTTCTTTGTAACCATGGACTTTTTTTTTTTTTTTTTAAATAAATCATACACAGAAGCCCAGACCCGTCCATGCCTGACTTTCAGAGAGCTGTGTGGCAGATTGTTCTCTAAGTCAGCTAAAACCATTTCTGCTGACATCTTTTGCAGTGGGACTCCGCTGCTTCTGCCATCAAGGGGTGGAATCTGTTTCTCGTCCCCTGGAATCTGGTGGCCTCTCCACTGGCTTAGACTGTCAGAGTGGGGTGATGGGCTGGTAGAGGCGCTGACCAGGTGCCAGCTCAGCTTCGAGCGGCCTCGCAGTTCCCACTTCCATCCTCACGGGTCCTTGCCCTGAGACGACCAGGTGAAGAAACCGCCCCTTCTGTCCTCTTGGGTCCTTACCCTCAGACCCCCGGGGGAAGAAGCTGCTGTACTCTGCCAGAGGATGAGAGGCCGTGGGGATGAAAACTGAGGCCACCTAGCCAACATCCGGTACTGAGCGCTGGGCACATGAGGAGGCATCTCGGACCTTCCAGGCCAGGTGACTCCCCAGCTGATGGCAGGAGGATGAGCGGGCCCGCTAGAAAAGCAGAGGGACCATCCAGCAAAGTGCAGAATTAAGAGAAATAGTCAATTTTAAGCCACTACGTTCTGGGCTTACGTAGATGACTGAACTAGAAATAAAAATAGATGGCCGAAAGATATGCCCTTCAAGGAAAATCTTATGCTGAGTCTGCTATGTGTGCGTAAGCCAGCTCACTTTTAATTAGGAAATCAGTTTCTGGGCTATGACAGTGTAAACGGAGAAGAGACGGCTTCTAGCGGCCCCATGTTGCTGCCTCCCCCGCCTGTCCTGCCCCCTTCTCCCCGCATGTCGCACCACATCGTGGCTGAGCTCGTTGTGTATTTTTCTACACTGTGAACATGCTTTGTGGAGAGCCTCACATAAAATCGGATTTATGTTTATAAAGTCTTACATCTCTTACGTTAGCTAAGAGATCCCTGTATCTAAGGGCACACAAAGGCCCATCTGCTCTGTCTGATGGCAGCAGAGGGAGGATCTGGGCCCTCAACAGCCCAGCCCAACCCTACTCCCTTGCGGGGCTGTGGATGGGAAGGAGAGTGGAAGGGAAGGCCGCTGGCTTAGCACACTCCGGTGCCTTCTGGAAAACTTACAGTCATCAAGATCAGCCAAGCCGACTAGGTAGAAGTAAGGTATATATGCTACTTTTCTACTGCAAGTGGTGATTTTTTCAATTCTAAGGAGACATCTGCTAGGACTACTGCTGCACATTAACCTATTCTTGAATGTTAGGCTTGGTGGCCATTTTCCTAGTACTCCCTGGATAATAATTACCATATGCTCACTCCTTACTTCATGTTGACCTCTTTGCTAAGCACTTCACATACATTGTCTCGTTTAGTTTTCCTAAGTGAGGAAGGTGAGGCAGGTATGATTGGTTCATTTTACAGATAAAGAAGTGAGGACTCAGAGCGAAGGCATTTATCCATCAGGGCTGGGACACCGCACGATTCCAGGGGGCACTGTTCACATGGTGGCCCTCCCCGAGGTGGCAGTCAAGGAGGTGGCAGAGCTGGGATTTCAGACTCCCAAACCTGAACACTTCATTTTATATGACTTCATTAAACTTTTCACTTCTCTAAGCTACTTTATTTCTTCTGTCTCTATCTCTGTATCCCAATGTCAGTCTATCCATCCACCCATCCACCCATTCATCCACCCATCCATCCATCCATCCATCCATCCATCCATCCATCCATCCATCTATCCACCCATCCATCCCTGCCTCCTTCTATCTACCACTCACCTAGTCATCTGTTTAGTCAAATCAGGGAAGGTATTGAGTGTTAATAATTAAGGTCTGAATTTCCAGTTTCTTGAAATATACATGGAAACATGAATTCCCTAATGTGTATTCTTTTTTTTTTTTTAAAGATTTTATTTATTTATTTGAGAGACAGAGAGCCTGAGAGGGAGGAGGGTCAGAGGGAGAAGCAGACTCCCTGCCGAGCAGGGAGCCTGATGCGGGACTTGATCCCGGGACTCCAGGATCATGACCTGAGCCAAAGGCAGTCGCTTAACCAACTGAGCCACCCAGGCGCCCCCCCTAATGTGTATTCTTATTCTTAAGTTCATCTGAAATAAAAATTTTTATTACTGAATGTTTAAAACAACCGGAAAAGAAAATCATTTTCTAGAAACCCATGTGCCCACAATACAGATTTCATATTGTGCCATATTTGCTTCAGATTTCGTCTCTCATTTTAAAAATGAAAATAGAATAATGAGGGTCAAAGCTCTGCCCCCTCTCTTTTACTTCTTTCCCTAGCTTAAAGATGGCATGTCATATCCATGCCACATTCCCATGTGTGATTTTGCATATTTACTACATGTCTGTATCCATAAATAATATTTAGTATTATTTTGAGTTTTATAGGTTGTATTTACCATCAATGTGCTTTTGCACCTTGCTTTTGCCCTTCAACACTATTTTTTTGAGATTTATTCATTTCGACATGTATACATCTAACTGATGAGCCGTTAAGTTGTTTTACTTCTTTTGCAGTTATAATAATGCTGTAGTGAACATCCCGGAACAGTCTCCTTGTTCACAGGTGCATGAGCTTCTGTAGGGCAGACGCCAGGGAATGGAGCTGCGTGTCTTCGCTTTCCTGTTCAAAATACTCTTCGAAGTGCTTGTACCTGCTTACCTCCAACAGCACTCTACTGCAGTTTCTGTTTTCCCACATGCTCGCTACAGCTCATGTTATCTAGTGTGTATCAAATGGTATCTCATTTTTTATTTCTATTTCCCTGAGCATCATTGCATAGTTGTATAGGTCATTCAGATTTCCTTTTTGTGGAATGCTTAGTCATAATATCCTTTGCCTATTTTTCTACTGGATAGTCTTTGCCTTTCTTACTGATTCGTTGGAAGTTTCTTGTTTCTGGTGTTGTTGTTAAATATTTTCTGGAAGCAGATCCTTTATCAGTTAATTGCCTTGCAAGTACCTTCTATGTCAACAAACACAGTTCAGCGAGCTCCATTCAGTCTCTTGCAACTGTGGGTCTTCTATGTCTCCTAGGTAAGCATTCAGAATGTTGTAGGTCATTACATATTACTGGTCATTACCTTTTACTAGGTCAATCAGACATGGCCAAAAACCAACGTGGTAAGGAGTAAGACATTGCTAATGACCTCATTTACCAGACTTGTATTTCTCTTCTCACTAACCTCTGCCTATCAAAATCACACTCTAGCAACTGCTGAGTCAGCACAAGGAACTAGAAGGCTTGTTCCTGGTGGTAACTAATGAGTCAAATCAATGAAAGAGAATTAATTCACAATAAGTCTATCTTACCTAAAACAGGCCAATCCTAAGCATAAATAACCCACATTATATATCATGTGTCCTGGAGAGAATAAGTTCATTTAATTGAGTCTTCTCAGCCAGCTGCATCAACAGCTTCAGTAATGACCTGTAGGTAATGACCTATAACACTGTGGGACCAGTGGCCCTAGGGTAGGTCATGGGATCTGTATATTAAGAAGCTACTCCAGAGGATTACGCTCTGTGGCCATATTTGGAAATCTCTGAATTAGGCCATCTGGTTTTCTGGGCACCACTCTGCCTTTACTATGGGGCTACCTTCTGTGGAAGAGGGTATTTTTCCCCAAGACAAGGCA